CTCCTGAGCCGCTGCGGCTCCCGCGCTGCTTTTCCGTCCCTCTAGCCGGCGGGCGCGGCGGCTCAGGAGAGCATCGCTGGCTTTGCTGTAGTGGCAGAGACCTTACGGAGCCCCGAAATGAAAGGTCGTGTTTGGGAGTAAAAAATAGTTGCCTTAAGTTGTGTGTTTGCCGGGAAAGGCCCAGGAAAGAGTTCAAGACATTTTTAAAAACAATAAGGTGCTAATATATTATTACATGAGGTAAATGATACTTTTAAGGTGCCAAATCAATGCACTTTGTCTCCAATGTACAGAAGTCATTATCAATGAATTCTCAGGTGTTCCAGTTCTTGAACATCCTTAGTCATGTCAGCCACTGTTTCAAGCTTAACCTTCATATCACACTTCAGAAATTAACTAGTTTTACTGAGCTCGTTTTACTGTTATTGGGATATTTGGAAAAAGCCTCTGAACTGTTGAGCTGCTATAGGAATGCTTCAGGGGTTTATGGGTACCTCTCCTCCGAGCATCTTTTCTGCAGTTTGCAAAGATAAGTACAGTTCTTAATGCAGTGAAGAGCACAAGAAAGAGCACATCTCTGGTTGCAGGTTTTAACACGTTGTGTTTTGTAAATGGTTTCCTTACCTATTAAATAATAACTAGAAAGAAAAATATGCAGGTAGGAAGATGTGTTACAAATGAAACTATATTTCCCTTCTCATAATTAATATTTTTGGTTCTATAATACCCCATTGTCACCCTTTCATCTAGTTTGCTCTGTTGAATTCCTGTAGTAGTAGATTCTTGTGCAGAGAATACGTCAAATAATCTGTAGTCTTCTAGGGAATAATTAACATGTTATGTGCTGCAGTGGTTTTGTGAGTACTTTAAGGAACACTTGAAAGTGAAAAATATTCTGACTATTGTAATGTCAGGATATGCTAATGTAATTGCACTTAATATATGGAAAAAATAATTATTTAACTTCTCTCAATACAAATTCATAGCATTAGATAATATAAAAGTATGATGAAAACACAAACTGGTGTTCAGTGTGGGGGAGAGGGTAGCAATCAAACAAGCTGGATAAAGTTTTCTTCATTTTTAATTTCCAAGTTTGGTAGTTACATTTATATTATCATTATTAAGGGAAAATGTCCTGAAGATGGATGGGATGAAAGCACCATTGAACTGTTTCTTCATGAACTTGCTATAATGGATAGCAATAACTTTCTGGGCAACTGTGGCGTAGGTGAGAGGGAAGGAAGAGTGGCATCAGGACTTGTTGCCCGAAGGCATTACAGGTACAAATTATTGTCAGTTTGAATTATTCAGATTTACTATTAATGCTTTCAGATGGCATATTTTATTCTGTCTTGTCATCTGACACCTTGGTAACATTAGAGAAAAACAGTATAATGCCATATTGAATTGATACAACTTCCTGTATTTTTGTATTTTATATGTAGTTTGTGATAATGGAACAAATTATGGCAGATACTGATGTTGCATTGAATACAGCATTTTCCATGATTGTTTATCAAATTAGATTCTCTTTAGTCAGCAAAAGTGATTGCTTTGGGATGTGAAAAAACTTGATGTATGTTTTCAACCCTTTTTGTTTAGGTTGATCCATGGAATTGGAAGGTCAGGTGATATTTCTGCAGTCCAGCCTAAAGCTGCAGGGTCTAGCCTTTTGAACAAACTTACTAATTCAGTAGTTCTGGATATTATAAAGCTGGCTGGTAAGTGTAAATCTGAAAGTATCTCTTGTTTATGGGGGCATGTCATGGGTTCTTCATGTTAATTTCTGATTTGCTTTTTATGTGCAGGTGTCCGGACAGTGACCAATTGCTTTGTGGTTCCTATGGCAACTGGCATGAGTCTAACTTTGTGCTTTTTAACATTACGGCACAAGAGACCAAAGGCAAAATACATTATTTGGCCACGTATAGACCAGAAATCTTGCTTCAAATCAATGATAACTGCAGGTAAGAAGGAGCTGACTGATTACACAGCGTATTCTTCTAACTTCATCTAGCAGAATGATCAATGCATATGCTTATGTAAGATCCAGAAACGGCCTAATGAGTTCTAAGTGCTTTATTTGTACACTCCTGATTTATAACATGCATTCACACATGAGTTGTTGTCTTAATGCCTTGTAAAATGTAAACCCATGCTGAGGTACAGGGGTGTATAAAGTAGTCAACAGAGAACACAATACTAAGGAAGTTACTGTTCACTCTCAGAGTTAGATGCCTAATTTGTTGTCCTGAGAATTATGTAAAGCCAAGGCTCATGATTCAATCTCTCTCTTAGATTTGTGCAAAAAGTATATGTGTCCTAGGAATTGTGATCAGAAGGTGACAAGCTGATTTGCACATTCTTTTCTTTTAGAACATGGGAAGTGTTAGCTGCACTATTTGTTTTTAACCTGGCGGTGTCACTCAGCTCACTCATGAAATTAGTTTGGTGCCTTTCTTAGTTCAAACCTTAATTTCTCTCAAATGGAATTCCTTGTTTACCAGGCTATAAGTAAGCTAAGTCTAGAAGTCTATCCCTGCACTGAAGCTATCCCCTCCTGCAGACAGATGTATGGGATTGAGGAGAGGGCAAGTGAGGGAGACCATAATTTTCCAGCTCAGTGCACATACCTGCAGATGGTGGCGTAGATTCTGGACATAGTTCCTAGGACACATTTATTTTTTATATAAAAGATTCATTAGATAAAAATGACTAAACAGTTGGTAGCAGGGACTGGATTCTGTCCAGTTAAGATGCAGAGGTGTTTAAAATAATCAGATCAGAACAAATAGAACACGTATATATGAAAAGTGGGAGTGTTTTCAGCGTATTATGCTCAATTTAGAATATCAAGCTATGGAAATTGCATTTGTGATGGAGAAGGTTGTGAGAAAATATAATTGATCTGTTAATTTTTTTAATAGTTAAGGTAGCTATAACATAATGAATTAAAAGAATTACCAACTAAAGAGAGAATCAGGTATCCATGCCTAACAACTGTCTATTAAATGCAATGTCTGTCTTTTGCATCACTCACTGAAAACCAGACTAGGGCTAACAAAGTCAATAAATCATTCTGATGTAAGTTCTTCTGTAGAGTTTGAGCCTTACTTGTCAGTGTTAAGGCATGGTCTTAAGACATGAAGGACAAATTTACATAGCTGCTGCAATGTTGTACTGCTTTGGAAATCACTCCTTTTTCCCCTTTATTTTCATTCAGTAAACTGAATGTTTCTCTGGTTCTTTAAGTCAGTCACTTTAGCTAGCATGATGTTGCTGCCATGCCACACCTGTTTGGGGAAGGGAATATGTGGTTTCCAGTGTTTTATTCTGTAAACAAAACCTTTTTGATTTATTTATTGATTTATAAGCTAGAAATTTGAGCAACTGCCATGACAAGCTTCCCTCTTTTAGAAAAAAAAAGAAAACCTCTTTTAAGTGCTAGGTTAGGTCAACCATACCTTTGTATGGTTGAATCTTCAAAATCTTTGAGGGTGGAGATTCCACAACCTCTCTGGATGTCAGTTCCCATGCTATGCTATTCTCTGAATGAAGAAAAAGAATAAAAAAGTTTGGATAGGATAGTTGGAAGGGACCTACAATGATCTAGTCCAACTGCCTGACCACTAGAACTATTCTGTAGTGGCTGGCTAGCAATTGTGAGACTTTTCCCAGCTGCTTATATAATATTTGGTCTGCCTCTTCTTCCTGGTTGTGCCTAAAACAGAGTCCCACCATATCTGCCTTGTTAGCCTTCCCCCTGATTCTTACCCATGAACAGTCAACTCTATCATGACCATCATTAAGCTCTAGACAATCAAACCACTTCCTAACAATCAGGGCTACTCCACTGCCTCTCCTTTGTTGCCTATCCCTTCAGAAGAGTCTATAGCCATCCACTGTAGCACTCCAGTTGTGTGAGTCATCCCAGCCTGTTTCCGTATCTGCAACTGTATCATAGTTTTCCTGCTGCATGGTGGCTTCCAGCTTCTCCTGTTTGTTGCCCATGCTGAGTGTGTTGGTGTAGATGTGCTCCAGCTGGGCTACTGATTCTGCCACCTTTTGGGGGGGAGAAGCCCTAATTCCTACATGACCATTCTTAGGTGCTTCCATGGTTTCTAATACATCAATAACCCTTGTGTTAATAACTTCTTATGAATGTTTCTCATGTGCCCTTGAGAAACAACCTCATGAGGTTCAACTGTTGTCCATCTTAAATACAAACTTAAACTGGAAACTTAAATAAAAGACTTGGGAAATAGCTTGGCTTTTATGATATGACAAAGTTCACTTTCAAAATGAGGTCAACCATGAACATTTTTATCTTTTAAGAAGTAATTTGAAAGTTTATACATTGAATAAGGCAGAGGCTTATGCCGAAAGCCAATTCCTAATGATCATTATTTCATTGCTACATCTAATGCCATCCTTTTTTAGAGAGGCTGTTTTAATATGCTAATGTTTTACAAGAATGCCACTCAAACACTTTCTTCTTAATTGGGAGGGAAGAGGTTAATCTGTTCTTAAAAAAATCTTCAAACCTGTTGCTGTTGCATGCAAAGAATATAAGGTATGCTTTTGTCTGGAGTCTAGTATTTAACAAGAATATTACTGTAGTTTTTAGTTATGTGGACATTGTACAATAAAACAGTTTATATATCTGTATTCTTAATCCAAGTCTGAAAGAATCTGTTAAAACAACAGAAGATTCTCCAGATTTATACTGGAACTGAAACCCCACAATTAGTCAGAGATTTGATGATATGCATTCAGATCTTGCTCTTTTTGGTCAGGTTTTGAGCCTGTGGTGATAGAAAACGTATTAGAAGGTGATGAGCTACGGACAGACATTGAAGCCGTGGAAGCTAAAATCAAGGCTCTTGGTGCTGAAAATATTCTTTGTGTGCATTCTACAACGTCTTGCTTTGCTCCAAGGGTACCTGATAGGTAAGCAAAGTAGTCTTTGAAAGTAGTGTGTTATATGTTACTGTAAAAACAAAAAAAACAAAACCTCCATGGTTTGAATGTCCATGCTCCTAAAATTGCTTAACTGCTGCCAAGGATGCGTAAAGATACTTTAATCCCCTTGCTTAAGGAAAAATGGCAGGTTGAAGCAATGTTTCAACTTTCAGAGAAGTATATTAAAAAAGACAATAATGTAGAAGGTTTTCCTTCTGTCATATAACGGAGGTTAATGATCTCTTACGGTGAAGTGAATGTCATTTTGGCTGTGGTTTTCTTGTTATTTCATGGAAGTAGTAAAAGCAGACTTTCATAGAAACATAATCCAGGAAATGTAGTTCAACAGTTAATGCCACATTTTAATATTACTGTTGCCTTTTCTACTCCAGTGATGGATTTTCCTAGGCTGTTAATACAGTTAAGAAAATAATCTACAGCTAAATTTAAAATCTTTGCTTGAGTTATTCTTTCCTGTATTATACTGATGCTTATAGGGCTATTTAAGATACACTGATACAAGTAAACTCTTGGAAGCATCTAGGGCAGATGTGCTGTATGAGTATAACATATGACTTGCCCTGCTGTAACTTATCTTGGTTTGAACATTTGCTGCCTGATTGCTTGATGCTACTTCTCATAATTTCCAGCTGTTAAATCACCATTAAAAGAAGCTTAAAATACATTGCATTCTTTCCTAATATTATTTGTCCATATACATCTGTAGTTGCTACAAAGATGTCATTCAAGCACTTGCTGAAGCTGAGATGAACATTACGGTTATGGATGGGAAACAGAGTATCTGAGACATTATTTTAACGTGTAGTTTGGTTGTGAAATATTTGAAAAACTTCTCAATTTGAAAATGGCGTGTTGGAGTAGAGGTGGCTAAAGTACTTGGTATATTGAGTAATTTGTCCAAAATGGGCACCATTGTTACTCACAAAACCTGCTTTCTCTATTTGCTCACAGTGTCAAAAAGCAAATTTGTTAGGTTTTACAATTGAACAACTATATTTTCATAGGCTTTTATGTAGTACACTGAAGTATGAGAGACTAGTAAGATGTTTGTTTTTACATGGTTTTAAATGTAGTTATTTAAACTCAGTTATTCCACTTTAATTATTTTCAATTTATCACAAAATTGAAAAGACTTATGTTTAGAGTTGCTCTGTAGTGCGTACTTTTTTGTTAATTACTTTGTTATCTCGAAGATTTAGTTGAATATTTGCAAGTGTAGAAAAGAAACATTACTGACTCTGAAACATGGCAAGCAAAGATAGGTTTCACTCTGTTTTCCTACCTTTAAAAAAGCGCTAGTATTTATCATAGGTTAACCCAGTTGCTAGAGGGAAGTTAAAACCGTATAATTCTGTCAGAATACTATGAACGTTGCTTGAAGTTGACTTGCAGATTTATTGGCTAAGTTAAATCACAGCTATCAAAATTGAATGGTCTATTTTATAGCTTGGGTAAATGAATCTTTTCCTTATCTGCCTCCTCTTTTTGACATGCAATTGTTTTGTCCTCTGCAACTAAGAGATGAATTATTAGGTAGTGGCACTGTGTTATGATATACCACAGATATAGGAGGATTTGAGAGCACTTTCTATTTAAAGGATACTGTCAACTACTGAAGGCCATAACATTCATCTTCCTACAGGAAGGAAAATCCTGTACAGCATTTCTGGAGGGTAACATTTTAAATGTCTATTTTTAAGTATCTTGCATTTGTAAGAGTTAGTTTAGTTGTGGTGGTGGTGTTTTAAAATTTTAAGTGGTTTAGGATTATTGAAAGGTCAGGGTAAGAGTTTTATGCCTGTGTACCTATAGCTTTCCTTTGAAGTATTATTTAACTTTACAGGAATAATTCACTAATGTATAAACCCCCTTCCTCAGAGAGACATCAGTTCTCAGTCTTTTACCTGCTGTTGCTGGGAGTTGTCTCTAAAATTACTGTATTTAAAAGAGAACTAAAAGAAAAAAAGTGTCTTGAAAAAGTTTATGTACTTAGCAGACAGCAAAGCTTTATTTTTATTAACTCTTACAAGAGAGAAAGAATGAACTGGAGAATACTTATGTAAGTCTTATTTGTGACTTTTAAGAATTCAGGTAGTAGCGAAACTTATATTAATGCTTTTTTTTTGTTGATATGACTAGCAGCACTTTTAATGGTTCATTTTAAGCCCTGGCAGCAGACAAGTGCTGTGCATAATTGTTTGCTTCCCTTGCATAATCACATATTCTTTTTAAACTGTAGCACTCTCATTCTGTATTGTAATATGGATCTAATTGTTCAATAGAATATTTTTAGGAAAAGTAAAGACACTTTTTGGTTTTCAGTACTTGTGGAAGCTATCTTATTGCTCCTTTAAGTCTCAAAAAAGACAAACATAAATAGCAGTATGTTTCCAGTTCGGGGAAATTCTTGACCTACACTTGATAAGAAGTCTGTAGGAGGAGAATGGTTTTCCTTTGAGTCTCTGGAAGGTGAGGAATGAGCCTGATTAAGATCAGATCAGAAGGCAAAAACTTTGCCCTGAGTAGTGTTATGTTTCCTGAAGTATTCTGTTAATGTTACATAGTTCAGGATTCAGGATCTTGATAAATGTGAAAAATTATTGGGCGTGCAGCTCCTGCCAAATATCTTGACTGTAAAATATCAATATGTATATTATACTACTGGTGTTTCTTAATCATTAAATACTTATTTCTTTAGGGATAATGTGGTGATGGTGATGTTTTCCTAAGGATTGAGGTTCAGAAAATTTAATCTGAGATTTGCAGCTGAATTTTGTGTTACAGTGCAAAAGAATGTCACGTCTTGGAAGATGTTTTCATACTCTGTCACATTTTATATGAATGTCAGTAAATTACAGTGAAAGCCTGTACAGAAGGAGATAGAGTAAAAATGCATTGGAGGTTTAGAGTTCCCTGATTTTTTTTAAAAAAGTATTACCTTTATCATCACTTTATTATATATCACCTTATTTTTTCAAATAGATTTTATTTCTAAAATATTTTCACAAATTTGGGGAAAATCGGGAGGTTTTTTAAGAAAGAAAACATGATTGGAGTGCTTTAAAAATGGTACTGAGTAGATGTATTACTAAAATGCTGAAGGCCCTTACCCAAATGACTTATGCAGCCACATACGTCCTAGTTTGCCTGAGAAATCAGTCCAGGCTGAGCTCACTGTGATTTCAAGGATTTCTAAAGGCAAGTGAAGAGTTGTTTTTATTTCTGATTAAACAGTCGAACAGAGTTTTAATTTGTTGATCTCCACATTCAGACATTTTAAGGTTCTGCATTCCTTTGAAGAATATCTTTTCTGTTAATCAGTTTATCTGAAATAAAGTGAGATTTCAGCCAAAGGGCTAAAATATTAGTTCTTTGAAATAAATAGAAGCATGTAAAAAAACTTCCTGTTAGATGATGCTTTTGGTTCTCAAGACACATCTTGAAACTTCCATTAGGCCATCTTCAGGTTGAATATTAGAAGAAGAGGAAAGAAGTTGTGAATAGCTAAAGCTCTGGTTATCATTAAAGTAGTATAAAAAATGCTTATATCTGAAGCAGAATGATTTGGGATCTGCTTACTGGTTTCCAGACAAAACTTTCAGTGAAACATGAAAAATTTCAGTGCAGCTCAACAATTTGTAGTATATGTAAAAGCTAAAGAATTTTCTTCTTAAACTTTATAGCTTAAGTGACAGGTACTGTCTTGAGGTACTAATCAAAAAAGTTTATTTTCTCATTCTGACCTCCTTGTAGACCTTTTAGTCTTTTAATGGTCTGATTTGTAGCATGAGTTACAGTTACCAATACTTCTCTAAATTACAATTTTATGCTTATAGGCTGGAGGAACTGGCAGTGATTTGTGCAAATTATGACATTCCTCATATTGTCAACAATGCATATGGAGTTCAGTCTTCAAAATGTATGCATCTTATTCAGCAGGTAGGAGCTGTGTATTTCCAGTAATATTTTTTTAAATAACTAGAAATAAATCTCTGATTGTAGACAACACTGGCAAATTTTATCAGACGTTTCACAGCTTTGAGACTTATCCCATGCATGTCTGCTAATTGAACAATTTTCTGAGAAAGCAGAGCAGAGGAACATAGAACTTAAAAATAATATTTGTTATTTTTATTATATGCTTTTTATGTAATAAGCCCAAATTTATTTAGGTTTTGTTTATGTTCAAGTGTCTTTCATAATGGAAAAATGTCCTTAATAAGCTTTCTTAAAATATTTCCTGAACTTGTTGATGAAAAATAAAATAATTGATCATACTTGGCTAAGTATTAAGCCTTCAACAGAATGTGAGTTACAGATTTTCAATTGAAACTACAAAATTCTACCGCAACACTGTATAGATGTTGTCACTGTTAAAATATTGTTGACACAGAAAAGGGCTGAGAAAACTGGGTTAAGTTCAGTATTATGTTCAGAAAAGTTTAATTTCTGTTTCTATTTAGTTTGAAGGGGAGTCTGCTTCATATCTAAGAACAGCCGTGAAACTTGGAATTCTTGCATTTTTTGCTCATTACAATGTATTGTGCACCGTTTCTTGAATGTCTTTTTTCTCTCTGTTGCCCATATCAAAAGAGTAGGGGGATTTGTTTTTTTTTAACAGGATTCAGGGGATCCATTTAAAAATCAGGGGATGCATTAAAAAATACTGTTTGCTTTTTTTCTAATTAAGAATACATCATGTTATTAACTGGGCACAGACCAGCTTGATATATAATTGACAGGAATATCATGTTGGCATTTCTAAATCTTGAGAGACTGAAGGGATTTGACAACTTGAAGTGATATGTGAAATAGGAAATGGCATATGCTTTATTTGTAATTTACTTGGTACATGTTATATTGTATTTAACTTGCACAAGTTTAGTGAAATTCTGACATGAAGGGACTGTGGGATTGCTGAATTTTACTGCATTAAATGTATCTAATGATAATCTTTTCAGACCATAAAGCTACAAATAGAACTGTTACTGTGTTGGTTTCTGTTTTTTCTTGGCTTCTTGTTTGGTTGGTTTGTTTGTTTGTTCTTTGATTATGCAAATGTATACATTTGAGCTCTGATTTGTTTTACATTTATTTACAAAAATTTATTTCCTGTGATAGAAAATGTGCTGCCTATGAAGAAGTAGTTATTAATGAATACTCAGGAATATGTACATGCTGAGCACAGTGTGAACAGAACTTGCAAGCGTATAACAGGAAAGAGCTGTTGAGACCTTTTCATTTGTTGTGCCTTTCCTCTGGTGGTCTCTTGTCAACTAAATCAAACGATAGCTGCTGGCATTCATCTTCCCATCAAAAAGCTGACGAACTCAGAGTGTTTCTTTCTATTTCCCATGTACTAAGCTATTAAAACATAGAAATAACAACTGTGGTTCAGTGGGATCTGATTTTTTCACTCTTCTTGCCATAAGTGTTAACTCCCTGTTTCTTGGGTTTACTCTGTAGTACATTAATATGTAGATATTTGGATATACTTTGATATGTATGTTCTTTAATATACTTCTCAGGTTTTGTTATGCTGCATACTTTTTAGCTCTACAGTTCACAGTAGCATGTTACTCGAAGATATACGGCAGAATCTATGTTTTTTTCTTTTAAAAATATTTGAGTGGCTAGGTATAAAGATGTTTTTATTTTATTGGAAGTGGGAAAATCTGCTAGAGGAAGTTATCTGGATCTTGATTTTTGCAAGCAGCTTTATAAGGAGTGCTGTCACAGTCCGTTTGTTTTAATGCAGATTTTTACATCTATCAAGAAAAATCTTCTTTGGTAATGAAGCATTAACCTGTAGCCTTTTACTGTGAGAATCTGTGAAATGTTTTGTGTTGTACAGTTTTAACTGTATAATTCTCACTAAATTCTGAGGATTTTCTTTTTGTTTTTTGTTGAAAATAAGCTACACTTAGACTTTTAGGAACTAAAATCAATATTTTAAATCACAGCAAAATAGGAATTTGTAAGGTACTATGTAAGCAGACAATGGTAATAATAGTGAGCAATGTTAAGAAAAGGTAATATTACGACTTTTGATTTTTCATCACAAATACAGTATTTGAGAGAGTTTCAGGAATTATATTTATTTCAGTTATATTGCTGTGTAATTATGATGCTATCATGTGGTTTCCTAATGTATGCTGTGGAATTTTTTTTGTTCCCTTTTGATAAAGGGTGCTCGGGTAGGCAGAATAGATGCTTTTGTTCAGAGCTTGGACAAAAATTTCATGGTTCCAGTAGGTGGCGCTATCATTGCTGGCTTCAACGAGTCCTTCGTGCAGGAGATCAGCAAAATGTATCCAGGTAACTAGTTCATGGGCTGATTGCATCCGTACGAAATAACTGTAGAAAACTTGATTATCAGCTTTCTTTCACATAAAATGTATTTTTGCGAATTTAATCTGTATATTGTTGGGGTTTTTTTCAGGAAGAGCTTCTGCGTCTCCTTCCTTAGATGTCCTCATTACACTTCTGTCTCTAGGTGCCAGTGGCTACAAACAGTTACTGAAAGAGAGAAAGGTAAGCTTTTTGGCAGGCAGCACTTCTTAAAGTCAGCTGTTAACAAAGTCTTGTTGCAAAACTGCTTTGTGTAGTAAATACAGTTTCTGTCTAGAAAGCCATTGAACTGCTTCTTAGCTCTCAGCTCTGAATCTGAAAAGGCAGTGTGATATAATTACTTCTTGGCTAAATGGTGCTCATGAGTAAGCAAGAATTCCATGTTGTTTTCCAAACAAGAAAGCTAAACTGAGGTCCTGTACTATCTTGTACAGTATTCATATTTGCAGTTCTAAAGCGTGATTAATACAGTAGAATTTTGTCCACAAAACCTTAATCTGTGAAGCACTGTGCTGTGTTATCATGGTCATGCTGCCTGCAGGACTAAAGCATGAGACCAGACACCCTGTAACCCAGGGGTCTCTGCTTTTCTTCATTTGGCCCTGTTGTGCTTTCATTTCTTTTTTCTGTGATAGTGTTTAATTAAATGTTTGTGTACCATGTTTTCTGGAGAGTCACAGCTTCTGGTTAAGTTATAAATGCTGTACATAGCCACAAAAAGAGAAGAATACTGTTATTTAAGTTATTCATCTAGATACAATGCTAGGTTTCTTCTTTGCGTCTTGCAGACTATATGTTTTATGTTGGGTATAAATGCATTGCACAAACTTTCAAGTGGTCTGAGGTTTGAACCTTAGTTGCAACCTTGAGTCCCATCTTGAGTCGTCGTTAATTCTGGGCATAATACAGGCCTGATTGTGCTATCTTTATATATTAACACAAAGGATTCTTTTTGTAGAGGGTTTTAGGTAAAGAAATGCTGTGAATTAAGTACTGTTAAGTTAATAGTTTTAAATCATGCATTATCTGTTCCATTATTTTATTTAGAAACTATATTCCACTTGTTTCCTGCTGACAGCTTGCTGTTGCCTCTGACTGCATGGCAGGGCAATAGTGCTGGATGCTGTGACTTGTTTCTAGCTGCTTGTAGAGGCATCCAGAAATTCTGTGCTGGAATTGAGATCTCATAGGAACAGCTAGGCTATAGAAAACCAAACCAGCTTAGTGGTCTTTGTGAGTAGGACGTGACAGCCTTACAACAACTGTGAAGTGATCTGTGTAACTAAAGTGAAAACATGGCTTATGAAACACTGAAAGCAGTTACCACTTTTGCCACTATTGCAATAGTTTCTAACATTTTATTCTGGACTGTTGTATGTATTGCCATGTATGGTTTCAGTCTTCATTAAAAGCAAAATGCTTTTGGAGATGCAAGTGAAGAGGGAAAAATACATCTCAAGTGAATTTATCGTGTCTTCTGCAAAGCTGATTTTGATGGTAGATTTACACTGGTAGAAGTTACATAATGGGCAGTATAAATACTCTCCAAGTCATAAATAATAATTATTTCATAAATAAAATGTCTTAATGAATAGCTGTATATTTTGAATCGTGTCACTTTCTTGGACATAGAATTCTAAAGTGAATAAAGCATTGTATTTTTACAACTTTGGGTCTTTTTATTTCAAATGTGAGTATACTTTATAAACACAGCCTTATATATGGCATAAATATGTTTCTTTTATTGGATTTGCTGTAGAAATAGAAACCTTTTTTTGCTTAAATCTGTTCCTGAATTGTAAAAATGTAATAGTGGTAGTTTATTGCCTGTGCTCTGTGAAAGCAGAGGCAGAGCTATTAGGCTCCCAGCAGGAGCTATTTATAGCTTGACATTGAGTACTCCTTTCTATATCAGTGCAGCTGCACCTACTCACACAAAAAGTCAGCTATAAAAAACTTGAAGTATTTTTTTTTAGTTTCTCTTTTTACCTTATCCTTATTCACATGGGTGTTACTTCATGTTATTTGAGCTCAAGCCAGAAAGACCACAGTATTACCAGGAAGAGATTAATCTCGCATAACCAAGGAAAAAAATAGTCTACCCAGTTTTTCTTTTACATGGATGTGTAAGATAAAATGGTAACAGATGAACTGTTTAATATAGGAAGGGAAGAGATTATGTGAGGGAGAGGAACATGGAGTGGAATTTTTCTGACAAGCTGGCAGTCATGGAGTAGGCAGTTGTCCCAAGTGTATGAGATTAGATGTTATGATGTGATCTGGAGTAAAATGGTGCAGTGGATCTGAGGACAGAAGAGCAAGGGACTAACACACATGCTGTCCAAGTGTCTGAATAAAGGTGGCAATATATGAAAGCTTAATAAGGAATGTTTTCAGTAGTCTCATTTAGCCTTGGTGTTTCCAGAGAAAGGATGGAAGAAGACCACCAACAATAATGTTTTCTCACTTGTTCTAAATTTTCAGTATTTCTTTTTATATGTTTATGTGATGTTTAGAACAGTGGTTTTCTGATCTCAGTAGGGGATTCTAGGTCCTTTTGTAATGCAGATAATGACAACAGATCCTTAGTCAGATTTGTTAATGTCTGCTTTTAAAGAACTCAATATTATGTAAAGGTTATGTTTTTGTAGCAACTCCTTTGATTTCCTCAGTTATGTTGTGTCCCATATATTGTGTTCTCAGGTCTTAAAACTCTCTATTTTGGGGGGGGGGGGGGTGTGTGTCTAAACCAGGACACATGTAGCAAATATAGTGGTTACACTGTGGAATAGCATAAACAGTAGACTTCCGTTGTCACCTCAGAATTGATGGAGAACAATTCAGGGTTTACATTCAAGACCTTACATATCAGGTTTAATACCTGTTAACTACTTTCCAATGTGGTCCATTTAATCCATTTAATTAATTATTACACCGCTATTATTGAAGAGGTGATGGCTTCATTTTGTTTTCAGCAGTTATGGATTTCCTCATTAGACTTTCCTTAACAATCTAATGATCAAGATAATTCTGATGTTCTTACATGTATTTCTCTGTTACTTGGGACGTGATGGAGCTTTTTATATCTGTATCCATCTGTCTGTATACTTTCTAAGAGTGATTAACTAGAGTAATTTTTATGTCCTTATGGAATATGTATCTAAAATATTTAAAATCACACCGAGTGGGAGGAAATAGTTTGGGTTTTACAATTCAGTAAAATACTGGGCTTATGTTTCATCGTTTATTATTGATGTAGCTATTCTGATAGGAATAAATTATTTGTACAGTTCAGGATGAGTTTATATTGCTGCTCTACTTGTGACTGAATTTAATAAGAGAAAAGCCATTTAATGCTGGATATGAAAAATGTAAAAAATCAGATAATATTACAAGACAGACATTTGTTACTCCTCTTTGTCTAGTCAGTTTGCTACCCTGTTGTTTGTCAAACATGTGGTGGGAATATTGCAGGATTCTCCTTGTGTGAAATATGTGGAACCATATTCAAAAGAAAGGCAAGATAGTTTAACTGAACGCAATCATCTTAAATGGTGTTGTGTAATTAAACAAGTGACAAGTATGAATGTAAGCTTCAAAGAGGCCTATGTAGTTAACGCATGTGTTGGAGAAGTATGGCCCACAAGGAGCCTGATCTCAAGCTCTTGTAAGTGCTGAAGAGAAAATGTGGTGTTTGGTGATTTTAAGAATGATCTTTTAAAAGAAAATGAGCGTGGTGATTTGTCAGCATTACTGTTAGCATATCAGGTTGGCAAGACTTACTCAACAGTTTGTTAGATTACTTTTCTATGATATAAAGATTTAAAGGTTCCATAATTAATTTCGTATTTTTAAAACTTCAGTGTATTATGAATTCAGAACAAGATTCTTGATCTTGCAATGCAAGAGCATCTGTATATGAGGGTATGTGGTTTATGTAAGCATCACACATGTACATGTACAGTTTCTGTCGTGTCTGGCTGCATTTCAAGAAAGTAAACCTTCTACTGGGGCTTTCTGGGGCATGTAGTAATAGGTCTCTATGCTCAGCACTGCAGCCTCTCTTTGTCTGCATGAAGTGGTGTGCAAAGGGATCAGATCACAGGTCACATGCAGCTGGTCAGTCTGATAGGCAAAGCAGAAGAGAGGCTATGATGGTTGCTGTATGAACAGCTGCTGCTGAAAGTAATTTAAGATGGGACCAGATCAGTCTTAGGTACAGCATATGGGAGCTGGCAGTCTGTATCTAGTGCAAAGAGGTTGTAAAATTACTCTTCTGCAGTGTTGTCTTCAGCACCATAAACAGGCTGTTCTCTGAGGACAACTCATCTTTTCAGAGTGAAACAGGAAGGCAGGCAGTGTTACAAAGGGCATAAGCAAGCTGAGTGGTTGAACCAGCTAGGATATATTCAGCCATGCACAAAATGTTTTCTGGCCTTCTTGTCTCTCTGACACCTGATATGGGACTAATGGCATATTTAGTGCCCCCATCGTATGCTTTTTCTCTGAAGTTATGCTTTTTCCATACTTGTTTCCCTCTAGTTATTTTCATTTGAAAAAACAGTGCCTATCAAAATGAAGCAGCAAATGAAAAGTCACCCATATTAGTGTAGGTTCTATTAAAAAATAGTTTTATAATGTAAATACAGTATGATTAAAATATTTTTAATAGTTGTTACAAAACAATAAAATATTTTTGTAAATGTATGTGGAAGTAGGCTATTTTGTTCACATAATTGAGTCAGCACATTTGATGCATACACCATTGTTGACTTGTTCTTCATATTTTTTGAGGTATTTTATTATTTTAGGTGCTAGAAAGAACAAAAGTGCAAGGTATTTTCACATAGTTTAACATTCATTTCACTAGCCTGGTGAGGTTTTGTAATGAGTTTCTAAGGGGAAAGAGTGAATTAAATAATGAAACTTAACTGACATTTAGTGCTTGGTTTGTTCAGTGAAACTTTAGCATAATAGTTAGCTTCACTGGAGAAAATTTGAGTGCCTACCACAGAAAATCAATTATGTAAGAGCTCATTTGAATTTAATTGCTTAGGGTGCTTATAAATTTTCCACATAATAGAAATATTTCATAATAGAGGTTGGTTATAGATTTGACCTCACAGAAATACTGTTTTTTTCCTTTTTTTTGGAAAGGCCATTAATCTATTTTGCAACAAACTGTTTAACTTCTGAAACTATAAAATACCTAGAGGGCTTCCAACAGAAAGATGCAAAATATCATTCATAAAAATACAAAGTTTTGAGTTTGTGTTCAGGTAGCTTCAGTCAAACTGATGAAAATACATACTTGGATTTTTTTTTTTTCCCCAGCTTTCTATTCTCTCTTGTTTTAACCAATTCCTGTGTATGTAGAGGCTCATCTAGTAACCTAGATATTTAATCTTAATTTAATACACTTATACAGTGGGTAACTGGTTATACCAGCTTGTCGTCCTTTCCGTAATAAATACTATTGAGGTGCAACAGAGAATTCCCTAGGTACAACACACTAAAATTAATTACTTGGGAATTTGTTCCTGTTGCAATACAGGTTTTTCTCAGTACTAATTTCACCAATAGTATCTCCATAGTAGACACAATTTATGTATATTTCTGTAATACTTTGCTTCAGTTGTAGAAGTAAGTAGCCAGCAGAGGGAGCACAAATTAATTTGTGATTTGGATTTAAAAAAATACTGGTAAAATGGCTTAACACATTGGTGATGCTTATTGTGGAAAGCTAGTAACAAAGGTGTAATGTGTTTATATCTAGTGAGGGACCAGAAGGAAGACTAAAGTGTCTGAACATTTTAAGCATGTTTTTCAAATTCTGTGAGTGAACTGTAAATAAAATTGATTAGTTGAAACCATAAAATCACTGGATTTACAAATGCCTCTGAAAAATAAGAATGATTTTTCACAAATTTCAAGTTCTGATAATTAATCATAGGTGCCTCTCAAAAATTTTTGTTGTTGTTCCAAGTATTACAGAAGCTTTATTCTCTTGTTGATAGTTGAATCAGTAATCTAATTAATTTAGACAGTAAGACGGTACTTTTTCCCCTCTGTCTGAATTTATTCTATGGTATTAGGAAGAACAAGTCAGGAGCTGTGTTCATTTGTTCACTCATGAAGTGAGACTGGGTTCACTGCAGTGACTCAAGAAAAGCAACTGTAACATTCTTCTAACTTAACTACCACAAAGCTCATTTTGTAAATTTTGTAAGACCTTTGGGAGATTTTGCTCAAAAACATAATTTTGATCACAAGCTATAATTTGTATCTGTCAGAGTGCACAGGTCAGAATAGGATACTGGTCTACAGACTGAAGAGGCAACTCTATTTAAGGAATGAAAAATCACTTGTCAGGTATAGAAATTGATGAGGATGCTTAAACAGGCAGTCGGATTGAAGCAGATGAGCAGCACAATCTTTATGGCCAGAAAGAGGAAAAATCTGGTGTTTAGTATCTTTTAAAAAGACTGCCCAGTATCTGTATCTTTTTGCTAGATTTTATGAGAGACATTAAAAAGGATGGAAAAGAAGCCAAAGGATACAATAAGAGGATGGTGTTTATTCTCTCTCTGTCCATAAGTGTTTTGAGCTGATATGTGGAGAGGAAGGTATTAAACTGAGGAAGAGCATGAGCAATTATCATAGATTACTACTGGGGAAGAGGGAGGAAATAAAATACGGATGAAGTAAGAGAAGCAGCCTTTTATGTGCAGTGTGACTTGTATCTGAGCCAAAACATTTATGAATCTCAGTTTTATGACATTTTCTCAATAAAGGTGCAATGTAATTAAGTGATAGCAGAAATTTAGATATCTCCGTTCTTTTAGTAGGCTTGAACAGAAAGGGTTGGTCAGTGGAAGAGGACTGGCTACACCACAGAGCTGAGTATTCAGGAGAGTATATATTGAGTGAAACAAAATACATTCAAATGTGTACTGGTAGCCTTCTCCTTAAGAGACTGTATTGCTGTTCTAATGCAGATAAAGAAGTCTGTGCACTAGTGGTGATTGTGATTGTGTGATACATGGTAACAGAATACACTGCTTTTAGTCTGGAATGTATTAATAGAAAGAAAACAAAGCAAGGAGCAATTTGCCATAACATGGCCATCTGTGATGGTAACAGTTCATTCTCTGTGGCTCAGGGGCTAGCGTGGGGAGAGGCTCTTGCAGGAGTGGGATGGGGTAAGACCTGCTTTGCAGTGGAAACCACTTCAAGATTTTTATCTCCCTAAGGTTCAGGGCCACAGAGAGGATGACTGACATCCCAAGCATATGTATTATAGACCAGATAGAGAGTTTTGTACCAGCTTGAGGGGGCAGAATAATGTTCAGGAAATTGAGCTGTTCCTTTATAGAATGATTTCAGAGAAATGTCTTGTCCACTTACTTCATACACATGAAAAGAGGATCAGCTGGGTACCAGTAGGATATAATGGAGACTTAACAGTTTTGTGAAATAGGTACTATTTTCTCTGTTTGATAGCTAATAACAAAAATATTGCATTTTTTTTTTCCAGGAGATGTTTTCCTATCTTTCAAGTGAGCTGAAGAAGCTGGCAGATAACCACAATGAGAGACTGTTAGACACGCCACATAATCCCATTTCCTTAGGTAATTGTTGTTTTTTATCTTTAAAAAAAATTCCAGTATACTGTGCATTCATAATACACTTTCACATACAGTTCCTGTATATTAAACATTGTTCACTACACTCCACTGAGTTGTGCTTAGGCTAATATGAAACCATTGAACCCAATGAGGTAACCTACTGTAAAAGTAAAGTAGTGACTTGGGCTCTTTATTTTTTTACAAAATTGCTCCTGTCCAACATACTCATTTAGTGTAAACAAGGCAAACAGAAGATGTTAGCATGTAGTAATACTTTATTAAAAAGTAGATTTTAAAATAAATTAGGGTATAATTATTTTACCCGTCATACTGCTGTAAAAGAGATTATGGACTTCCTGCTCAAGATACTTGTTCTAACCAAAACACCAAAGTAATACTGCCTACCTGTGCAGAATCTGCCTTACATACAGTCTAACCAAACCAAAATTGTCACTTATGACAGTTTATGGGGAAATTAAAAATTATTAAATGTAGTATTCATCTTTCTTTCTTTGTATCTGAACACAAATATTTGGCTAGATTTTTATTGTTGGAAAACGGCTTGTTCTCTGTGGTTCTTCTTTGAAGAAGCAGCAGCTTTGTAGTAGTTTTAACCTGACTTTTTTTTCACTTTAGCCATGTCACTGAAGAATCTAGATGAAAATAATGATGTTGCTGTTACTCAGCTTGGATCTATGCTTTTCACAAGACAAGTTTCTGGAGCAAGGTGAAGATGCTATGAATTTGAAAAATTGGGGGGGTTGTATTAGCATATATTTTATTAAATCATATAATATTTGTTTTGTAATAATAGTCATGATTACAGATTACAGTCTGACAATAAGGAGTCAGAGAGTAATACACCCTTCTTCATCACAGTTATCTATTAATTGTGTCTACCTGCCTGAGTTAGCAATGAGGCCCTTTTTGTTAGCTTTGGTAGGCTAAATAGATAATCTATGCCCATTTAATTTAGTGTCATTGTTCCCTAGTACCCCTTGGTTTCATTTACCTTCCAGCTGTTGTCTGATCTTATAGTTAAATTGTAAGCTACTTAGGGAAGATCTTTGTTTTATTTTTTGCAGCACAAATATGGTTGTGCTGGATGTCAGGGGAATAAACTTTTAATACCCTACATAGGTTTTTGTCATATGGAAGAAAAGCTTGGTTTCAGAAACTAATTGTGTTAAAAAAAAAAAAAAAAAAAAAAAATCTACAACCTGATCCTGAATGTGGAAATGCAAGCCAAATAATTTTAAATGATTTTGGTTTAAACCTTTTAAAAGAAGAGAATGATTTAAAATTTGTTTTGACAGGATTCCTTAATCTGAATATTACTGCTGCCATGCTAACTTCTGCTGTAGACTTAATGTCATTTTTTTGTAGCAGGGCTGAATGTTTCCACATCAGAAGGTATGCTTCATTAGCTTAGATTATTCCACTTCCTGCACAGATGAATGACAGTAAATCTATACGTATTGTAGTTAGATGCTCTTTTTAATTTGCCTGTCCTAACCTTGGCTTGTCCTGCAATTTCAGCCGTCTTTGGCTGAAATGATTCAAGGGGTTCAATTTTTGAAGTTAAAACTCTCTATTTCTTTGGCTGATATAAAGGATTCAGGTTTTTCCTTTTTTTTATGTAATTCTTCTGTAGTATATATACACTGTTTGACCTGGCATTTCAACAGATTTTAAGTTTATGCTTGTGCTGAATGTCAGTGGTAGAAATAGCAACTCCCTACTTCAGTAGCGTACAGGCTTTCGCATAACCTGGGGCTGGAGTACTTGGGCAGTGGAAGGATCTGATAAATCTAGTGGCAGTTGTTTGAATACAGTTTCTTTTATGAACTGCAGGGAATGTCTCTCTAGAGGTGTAGTAATTTTTACCAGTTGGTTTGTGTTAACTGCTTGTGTAGGCTTTACCTGTGGCCACAAGGTGAGTTGTTCCTTTAACAAGTAAGGATGTGGATTAGGGTCTTGATTTATCAAGGAATGCATATGTACTCAAAGTGCTGAGAAATAGGGTGTAATAGGTAGAGATTCTTAGTATGAGGAAGAGGGAAAAGTGGTGCCAAAAAGGGAGATGGAGTAGAGAGGAAGGGATGGCGGGAAGTTGGGATCATGAGCCCTCTGAATCACTTGAACCCAGACATTTTGGACTGCAGTACACTATGTCAAGCATATGTCTGCACTAAAGCTGTTGTCAGTATGGTGATTCCGGGGAGGTCAGGGTTGCCAGGTTGCCTAAGGAGGGGTGAACTATGTCAGGTCAGAGACAAAGCAGGTCAGATAGGGCTTGTTATGAAATAGGAAAGTTTGCTGCAGATGTCTCTTCCCCCAACACTGGGGAGTTCATAAAAAACAATAGTAAAGACCTTAATAATTTAACTGAAGAGGGGAAGGGACATGCACATATGCACACAGGATTGAGCTAATTCAGGATCTGCTACTACTGTCACTCATAGTGATGTCTGAGCTAAGCCTGTTTATGTTAATTTGTTCAGAGTTAGCAGATATTACAGTGTATAGGAACTTGTGTAAATGTGTTCATCATAGGGTATTACATAAAATATCCAAGGCATCTGTAACTGAATCACAATTCTGGTTTTTTGTTTCAGGGTTGTTCCCTGTGGGTCTGTACAAACAGTGAATAACTACACTTTTAAAGGATTTATGTCACATGCAAATAACTATCCCTGTGCTTACCTCAATGCTGCCTCCGCAATTGGAATTAAAAAGCAAGATGTAGATGTATTCCTAAAAAGACTCGACAAGTGTTTGAAAACTTCTAGAAAAGAAGCAAAGAAAGAAAAAAGTGTGAATGAAATAAGTAATTGTAATACAGACACGGAACAACTTGAAGACTAGAAAATACAGATTTAGTAACACAGGAAGATACACTTTTGTTTGAAGTATGTCAGGTTTGTATTGGGTTAGCATTGTGAATCTGCAGTGCAGAAAATTTACTCCTGATCTGAAAACAATAACCAAAAAAAGCTGAGTGAAATTCAGCTTTAGAGAAAGAGGTAATACTCTCTCCAAGACAGAGGGCCAGACATGAGTCTTTTGCAGCATATAAATGCACTTAATATCTGCCAAAGTAAAGCTTTACATTCATAAAGACCTTGAGCTGGCCTTTCAGTCTGTGGGTGACTCTTTTGGACCAATGTTCACCAAATCACAGAATGCTTATTCCACTGGGTTTTGATTAACAAGATTTTCTGAGGCAGTGATTGAATTCATTCCTAGGTATAGACCATCCAAATAAGAAATATTTCACTGATCTCAAAATATCTCATTTCTCATCAGCATACTTGACACTTCTCAAAGATTTTTATGTGTTGGGATATCCGTTACTAAATACAATGTTAAAACTGCATGAGGAAATTATAGAGTTGGATTAGTAGGATTTTTCAGGTGTTCTCACCTCTCATGAACTGTCTAGAACAAAGCAGCCCTCAGTGACAAAGAAAAACCTAGAATACCTCATATCCTGTCAGTACTCACCTCTTGGAAACATTTGCGCAGTTCAGCAACTAGAAACAATTTTAATAATGAAAGCAAGGGGTTGTGGAGAGGTGCAGTCTTTTTTTTTTTTTTTTCTTTTACTTTTTTTGGTCTTTTTTCCATTTCATCTTTCCTTTGATATGGCAATCAGGTCAGAGACCCACTGAAAAGGAGGAATGCCTTGTGGGATTAGTGCAGCAGTTTCAAGAGCCAGTGAGACCAGAGGGTATTTTGGCATTTTTAGCCCATTGTTGTTAAAATGTATAGACTTCCATTTCTGAAGTGCCTCTTGTCATTGGCACTGTTGCTTCTGTGGCTGTGTGCTGTTGCTGATTTGAATTCATTAAGCAAACAATAGATTCAGAGTCTGTTCCCAAAACAAAGGTTCCATATCACTGGAGTGACAGTGCTGTAGGTTGCAAAACTTTTCGTTAATTATTCTTAAATGCAATTACTACATTGTATGTATTTTTTTTTATGTCATTTACTGTTCAAAGTGAGCTTAATGTTCAAAGACATTTTCTTTGTCTGTAATGTAGTAGTACTTGGGACACCACAATTAATGAGTTCTAAACGTCAGGAAATATTCTAGTTATGTTGTTTGGTGGGATCGAAGACATATATCCTTCAGAGCCCTCTGTAAATTGCTTAATCGAAATAGTGGTGCTTTTGAAAGGCTTGTCTATCCACTGTGTTCCAATGAATTGATACAAGAGGTGATGTTAATGTGCAGAACTTGAATAGTATGCTAATCAACATGAAGGTGCTCTCACTTAGTGAGGTCTGTTGTATCTTAAGCTTAAATTAAACTGCTGCTTCTACATTTTTATTGCTACAGTTACACGTTTGATTAAAGCTTGTGAAAGTATGGCTCCCTAGACTACAGTCACAGTTGTTATTTGCTGTACAAATACATCCTAGGAGAAATGTAATATAACTTGACGACTGATTCTTTGTGGCTATAAGGAGATGTAAATTCCTTTTCTTTCTTTCTCATCCCCCCTCTCCCCACCCACCCCCCCCCCCCCTTTTTTTTTTTTTTTTTTATTGAGACCATGCTGTACCTCAGTTTTTCCAGTCAGTAAATCTCTTCCACAAGCTTGGGAGCCAAAACTCTGCAGCTCACTGCCTCAGTATTCAGTACATTGGAGCAACCAGTAAAAACCACAAGGCCTTAGTGATACCTTTCTTCCTATTTTTTGATATTGTTTTCTGCCTGAATTAGTCTAAATTATTGATTTAGATGACTAGTCACATAATGCAAGCATTGGAACTATTGTTACAAGAGTTTAGGGAGGTGTATGGTAGCAGCTAAAATAAGCATTTGATGAATAATATCCTAAAACTGAATAAGAAGACAGCAGTTGCCTTCTCTGAGAGGAAGAAACCTCTACCTTTTATGTTCTCATAATAAATTGCTGCAAATAATTCGCTCACTTCTACTATACATTGAACTACTTTCTCAGGTAGTGTTTTCCTGTCTTAAAAATGTTTCCCATTTGAAATCAAAGCTGAAAATTTCAATAAATTTTTGATATTTAATGTTTTCAAAAATTTGTTGGAATTTGTTTTTCTCTGTAAACAAGTATCCAGGGAATGAATTATTGGTTTGTTCTGATTTTGACCTTTGAAACCTTTTTTTTATTTAAAAACACATTTTAAGATAATGGCTTTAATTGAAATAAAGACCAAAAATTTTAGTTTGTGTGTCATTACGTCACTTTGGTAATCTTAGTGATACCACCTGAAGTCAGAAAATTTAAGATATTTTGAGAAATGTGCCCTCCATCATGTGTATAAACTCTTGAACTAAATATTCGTGTTATGTTACTTTGGTAAGCTGGTGTACCAGCTTCCAGTTTTGTTTGCTTGCTTTGTCCACTTAAATGTCTTCAGTTAATATTAACTTTTTAGAGATGGAAGCATTCTATAATGTCATTATAAATATAATGAAATTTTAAGTAATTCAAATGTCCATATACTTTGAAGTAAATGGAGATGAATTGGTTATTTAGGAGATTCACTAGATAAAAATAATTTTTCAAGGAAGACTATAAATCAACTTATTACAGATATTAGTGAATAGAGAATAAAGTAGTGAAATAATATTGGAACATACACCCATGATCAGTTTTCATTTCTTTTGTGTAACAGATATGGGGAGATTTCATGGCTGTGGCAGGTCTCACCCACTAATAATACTGTGAAAGATAGTAATAGCATGGGCATAAATTTGTCAAACTGGTTTTAGTAAATCAAATATATTAACAATATTTGCCTTTTATTAAAATCTTTCTAAGATTGTACAGTGAAGTAAGAAGCTTCTTTACTTTAAAGTCCTTTTCCTAATCTCTACATAAGCACATGTCACTAAAGGCTTTCACATACCTTAAAAATTTGCAAGAATCAATTTGCTGTCTCCAGCATCCACATGACTAGTGATGTAAGCCAACACCTAGGGAGGCTGCCTGGGCTTCAGAACAGACTTGGGGTTCGTACAGCAAGAATTCTTGGTGGAAGGACCAGGAACAGATACTTATTTAGTACAGCTATTATTTGTGGAGCTACCTTTCTCTTCATCTTCTAAGTCACAGCATGCGGCTACCGGATGTGCAATAGGAATGGGGAAGCACTTGAAAATATGCCAGAAGAGCTGAGGATTCAGAAAGAGAAGTTCAGGAGGTTACCATTCTTGCTACCTAGTCTGCTGTTCTGTCAAAAGTTACTGCCCTGTGGCAGAGGTAGCAAAGTGATCTGTCTGCCCCAAAGCTGCCACAGTTCATATAGTGTATTAACAAATACTGAAACTAAGGTGTGTTGGAGCATTGCAGGTATGAGAAACAGTGGCCGTAGAGCTAGCATGTTTCCCATTCTGTTTCTGTGGTACGTATATTCTGTGAATCCCTGCTTCTGAAGAGAGTAGCATTTGACGACGAGGCAGGGTGTGTGGTTAGGCAGGGACCTCTCGGATTGCTGCCAGTTTGAATCGCCAAAGTGAATCTCCTCCCTTATGGTGCCTATAGCTGTTCTGTGAGATGCCTTTCTTTCCCTCTGATATAATATCTTATGCTATCTGGATCTATGTAGGTGAAAGAAATGAAGGAGCAGATGGACTTGCCTTATAAAAATAGCAGTGGGATAATATAGTGCAAGCAAGCTGACACCGAATGACCAATCTCACAGGCCCACTCTTAGCTTACTTCTTTTGTAGTATCTGAGATAATGAACAAAACGAAGGACTGTTTGAGCAATAATACTGCCTTTTCACACTTTGTTCATAACGATTGCCTAAGATACAAAGCAAATAAAATCTACCAGATGCAGCAAATTCTCTTGAGCCTAAGAAAGCAAAATTGTAATGTTGCAAATGTAAATGCTGGCATTGCAGCTTAATACACATATAAACCAAGCAATCTATATTGTGCGATCATCATTTTTTAAGAAAGGCTGGAGCCCAGAGACTAGCAAATGTTCTCATCTGCAGTGTATCAGCAGTTCTCAGTCTTCAGCTGCTGTATAGATAATAATTCTAATTGAAGAATCATTACATGAATCCATATGTGAATGATAGATGGGCTATAGCCTTTTGTTCGTGATGCTTTAAGAATTGAGTTGCTGTTTTCACTTTTATAAGGGGTGATTAGATTGCCTTTTTTTCTTTTTTCTTTTTTTTTTTTTCCCTTTAAATGCAACATTTTAATCAACCTGGTCTGACAGTATTTGGAATCTGAAGGAAAAACAATTTCTGTAGCTGACAATTTTTTTAAACAATAGCTGTTTAAAGGCTTGAATTGGTTACAAAGTGACTCTCCACAGAGAAAACCTTTGTTCAGATGTTTTTAATTCTGAAACCAGTGCTTGAAAAATTGTGCTCTATAATAATTGTTTTTCATGTTTTATGCTTTTTTTCCGTCAAAGATAACAGCATACACTCTAGCACAGTTTAAGAATTCTTTTTGAAAATCATAGTTAAAAAGACATTTACTCTGTCACTCATCAAACATCTGTCATATCAAAGAACTAGTAATATATTGATGGATAAGCTTCAGTGTTCTGGACCAAGATCAGTGTAACTGGACCAAGTTTTCAATACTCCTCTGGGGATCCTAAAGTCAAGTTCATGATCTAATTAAGATCGGAGTGATAATTGTATCTGCAGCTGAACAGGAGTCTTTCATCATACCACATTTCAATGAATTTCTTTAGCGTGGTATCAAAGCTGATCTAGTTCAGAAGCTGAACTGCTTTCTTAATGTGGATGGTGAAATTTAATTTGCCTTTAGATCCTGGATTCAAGTCCAGGTTGAGTCAGCTATATCAAAAATATAACTGCTTTATTTTAACCTAACGTGAATAGAAAGAACACCGTGTTTTCAGCTGGGTTTTATCTTTCCTATTACTTGTTCTCAAAGAGCTGCAAACATTAGGCTACCATCTTATGCTTACTGCTGGTTGGGGCGGCTGGAAAGTTGGTCTTGTACAAGTAACATGACAGTAACAGAGGAGTGTGCATTATTAATCTTTTATCTAGTCATCACAATTGGGAACACACCCCTTCAATGGCAATTCAAGACAAATGTAGTGTTTCTACTAGTCCATTCTCTCCAAAGGCTGTTTCTCAGGCACATTTCTTGTGATCAAATGGTACCAGAGGAGCTCATGGCCAAAAAACAGGGAAAAGGAACAAGGTCTCCAACATATTGGAAGGTTTCTGGGTCGGTTATGTCTTTGGCTTTTGCTATGTGTAGAGCTCATACTGCTGTCTAAACTCTTGAAAAGACGTTTGCAGCCTTTCTCATCCCTTACCTAAACTGTTTCTGAACTGAATTCAGCATGGTGACACCTCCGTGGGTGCTGGGGTGTGCTGCCCCGGCACCCCAGCTGACAGATCACTTGCTAATGCAGCTATGAGGTCTGGCCGCAGGAGAATTTGGTACCCAGGCAGGGGAAAACATTCCTGCTTCTCTTTGATACTGAGCTGCCAAGCAGGTGTGACAAGTATCACTAGTTTGCAGTCACAAATACTGTTGAGCAATTAGTTAATCCTATAACTAGTCTTTCTGGAGCCTGAGGAACTGCAGATAAAAAGAGTGCTTAGTTTGGCCTTTAATATATTGAAGGAGGAATGTAACTATTGAGGGAAAAAGAATCTGTCAAATGTAACTAAAGAGTAAAACCCTGCAACATATTGTATAGACTCTTGATTAGATACCAGTTGTCTTCCAACTCTCATTGTTTTCCTCTGGTTCTCTCTGTAATAAAGCTATAATGCAGATTCTGGCTTCTGATTCTATACAGCATCTATTTCAGTAGTGGTAGAGGAATTGCAAATGGCTTAGTAGGTAGAGGGGCTTGGGATACAGTTAAAGATACATTTTTAAATGAAAGATGAGGGAAGTGTCTAGGAAGCTTATAAAAATAGAAATAGCCTGAAATACTTGCTGTGCAGCTGAGGGGGTGGTGAGTCTCCATCAAGATCTGAGCATGTGTAGTGAATTCTTGACTGGCTGCACAGTGCAAGCACCAGAGGATACAAATGTCAAATTACAGCACTCATTGCATCGCTATATTAGCCTGCCCTCTAACAGTATTCATTTCTAGTACCCTGTTCTCCCCTCACTCTATTGAGTATTTCTGGGTGACTTTCTTAGCGGACTCTGCTGTACTAGTGCATCAGAAAAGGGATGGGGAGGGGGGGAAGGATGCCTACCAGTCTATTGCCATCCCTACTGATGCAAAACTTTGTATGCAAGAAGTTAACTGGAGCACACAAAGGCAGCAGGTGCAAGCGCACACACCGCTAGCTTATTTGTTGAAGGGTTTATAATCAGTAAATGGATTTGAATGCAAAAATATTTTTTAATAATGATACAACTGATGCTATTAAAAGCTAAGCTTGTATTCCATGCAGGTAGCACAAATTGTCACACTCTGGTTTTCTCATTGGTTTTGTGTCTAAAAATTTCAGCTGAATGTTAAATTTGCATCAGGGCAGCACTTCAAGTTTCAGAAAAGATGCACATGACGTCGATCTTCCAGCAGTAGATGTTTTTTCTGGGCCCCATGCAGTTCCTCTCCCCTCTTGGAAGGCATGCTTAGGAATTTCAGTGTCATTGGCTCCAAGGCCTTTTGCAGTGAACTATTTTGCAGTGATTCTGTGTCTTTAGAAGGAATCTGTTGTGGCTGCTGGAGGTCTTTGTAGGCTGTATATACTCCTCATGGTGCCTTGTGGTGATTTCATACAGTGACTTCTGGATCCATGTGCTCATTTACAGGTAAAGAGTTTCTGATCCCTTCCCACACTGAGATGGGCACGACAAAGGCTTCTTTATTGCACGTACTGCCACCTTCAGCCAGGTTGGGTGGATTTGCTAATGGAGTGTGGATTGGGGTCAAGGGTGTTTCAGCTCCAGTGATGGTATGCCTCGTGTTCCAAATAATGAAATGCCATTGCACCACCAAGTGAGGCAGGGGCTGCCGTGGCCCTTTGGCAGGTGTAAGCTAGGCAGAAGCAAACTCTGCAGCTAGCCTTGAGTTATTTGGTCTGCTGATCCAGAATGGAGTTGTGTTTTCTCTTTTCTGGATGTGATGGCTCTGCAGTGGGCTCAGGAAGAAGAGGCAATAACAATGTATTTTTGTCATGGAAGCAAGTAGCTGTGACTCACAAGGCTCCTGGGGCACCACTTAGTAGAGTTAAAAGATGCTGTTTTCATTTAGTTGCTATATAACTGCATTTCTGAGTCTCCCCATTCACTTCATTCTTGCATAAGCCCCTCTTCCTGCATTTCCAGGACCTAATTTTTCCCTACCTTGCACTTTCTTGTAGATTTTTACATCTGTGCAAGTCGTGGTAAAACTCAGCTCTTTCGATATGAGAGCATTTAGCATATATCCTGCATTTACTTGGCATAAGCATAGAAGACCATAGCAGGGGCAAGGCAGTGGGGAATCAAGCCAGTTGTTTACATCCTTCTCCAAAGGACTAGTAGGTCAAACATCCTTCTCCTGTCCACAATACTCTGCTATTAACAGCTGTTAGTGAGTGTTAGCGCATCATATTTTTTTCCCCTCGAGGCTGAGTACATTATCTCTACAACACTCCAGCACCTTGCTGGGAACATGCCACAGTTCTGTTTTCAGAGTGTTTTGTTAATGCTAGTGACCTTGGTGGTGTGACCACAACACCTGCTTTACCTGATAAGATCATTAATTTTTTTCTCTGCAGCCTTTGTGTTCAGCATAAGCAAATCTTCATTTGTACCTGGAAAACACTGCCGGAACATCAGCTTACTGGAGCACTGACCTGTATCTCTCGGTATATTTTAAGGTGTTAAATAGGCAATTAGAAGAAATCACTTCAATAAAAGCAGAATGAACACAAGCCTCTCGTTAGCTGCAATGGAGCAAGACCGGATTGGAATCAATCGCGCAGCTTTTCAGCTGTCACTCTGCTGCAGCAGCAGCTGTCTGTCAGTCGAGATGACAGC